TGGGGATTTTTTTTCCTAGGGTTAGGGATTTTTTTTCAGCAATTCTGAAAACACGGAGCATAACTAGTCATTATTTCTTATAGTATTTTTAATATTTAAAAAGTATTGCAATACATCAATATTAACCTTAGTAAATAAAAAGTCATACATTTAGATTATGTAGATAAAACATAAATAAAATTTTTGGATAGGTAAATCATTGTGTACTATCATAATGAGAAACTAACCCTTAGAAAATAAGCAACTTTATCAAATACTCTAAAATATCCTTAATTTTTTTTGACATTGAATTTTGATCAAATGATTTTTATTAGTTTTAACTTCAATAGTTTAATATTAAATAATAATATGAAGAAAAAATTGTTATGTGTTATGTGCTCCTTTAACTAGATGATGTACGATTTATACATATTATTAGAATTTGTATAAGATTAATCATAAATTCATAACTAATAATTTTTATAAATAATCTAGCCACAATAAAGGAAGATTTTTGTGGCGTTGAACCTGTTACACATCCACCACCTATAATCGAGACTAGACCCCCTCCTATATTAGATGAAAATAAAGTAAAGGCTGCATACAATGAAACTAACTCTGCTTTAATTGGTGGTAAATATTCATGTTATTATTTATAAAATGTATTTAATCATTTAATTAATGTTCAATAATTCATTTAAACATATTTTTTCTAGGAATATTTTCAATAATTTTGATAGCAATTCTAATACTTGCATTTTTGGTTGGTCGATATGTGGCTCGTCATAAAGGTGATTACATTACTCAAGAAGATCGAGGTGCTGATATAGCATTAGATCCTGATGATGCTGTCATAAATTCAACTACCGGACACCAAGTACAGAAAAAACGAGAATGGTTTATTTAAATTATTATCATTATTATTTTTTGATCCAGCAATAATTATTTAAATTTGATTTTTAAAGAATTTTGCCAATTTTTTATACGTTTTCTAAACCTTTTAAAACATTGATATTTTATTTACTATAGTTATTTTATTGATGAAAGAACAAATCAAATGATACAAATTAACAATTTTTATTTTTGGTTATTAATACTATGTTTTATACTGAATTAAAGTATGTTTGGTAAATTTGATTTACATTGCAATTAAAACAAATATTATTGTTTTTACTTTATTATTACTACTTTAAATTATAACTTACCATTATTTTATTGATCACACATTTCATGATTTATTTTCATTTCCATTATAATCAGTATTTTATTCTATTATTCTCTTTTAAACATTGAATTAAAATAAATATTTTATAATAATGTTATAGGCTATGTATGCAATGTAAACATTTTATTTTATTACCTATGATTATGACATTTATGATTGTTGATTTTAAGTTGTGAATCTCATTTTTTTTTTTTAAGCTAACATACAGACTGTCTTAAAAATAATTGTTGATTATTAAGTATAATACTTCAAGGTAATTGTTAAATTTTAAAGGTGAATTTTATGAAAAATAAATATAAAATCGTCTGATGTAGATTAATGATGTAAAATTATTTTTAATTTATATTTTTATAAGCCATTGTGCATTTATAATGGTTGTCTATAAATGTCTGATTTGTTTAATTTAATTGATTATCTTCACCTTAACATATTAACTTACCTATAAGGTATATTTATACTTAATTCTCAATATTATTAACACGTTCCGTCCATACTATAAGTAGTATTCTTTAATGTAATTATGTTTWAAAAAAATTACAATGTTAGAAAAATATATAGTTTTTACGTAAACTAATTTAAGTATATAGTTTTTTAAATGTGATATTTTATCGAAATTTTAACAAATGATATTTTTATTTAAATAATTCTTTGTATGCTGTATTGTATTGAGTTGCACTTTTAAACTTAATTTATTTGTTTTATTAACTATACACCCTTATTTTGCAAATTTATAGATATCTGCTTCTTGTATTTTTTATGTTTTACATTTTTTTCATTCAATTTTATGGAAAATAATAATTATTGTTTAAGAAATATTTTATAGAGTTATTGAAAAATTTGTATTTTATAATTTATTTTACAGTAATATGAATAAAATTTTTATAATAAATACAATTATTTAAGGAAAGGGTTAGTTTTATTTAGCAACATGTATAATTTAATCCTAACATAATATCTATGAATCCTTCAAGGTTGAATAACGAAAATATTAAAAAATGTAACAATTAATTTATTCAATAGTTTTAATGTTTAGGTAATAAATTTACTTAAATATGTTTATAATTTCTATTATTTATTTTATCTGTTGAATTAACTATTTACAATCTATATGTTTTCTAATTTTTTTTAATAGCATAAATATTATTGTAATTTATAACAATGCTTAAATGATGTATTTAGAATTTATGAATATTTATAAATTATTGATAGGTAAAAAAACACAAATAATTTGATAGTTAATTTAAATTATTTAAGTAGTAATAAAAGTAAATACTTTTAAAATTATTTATGATAAAAGAATTATAATGCAACATTAAGTTGGAAATATAAATAGAAGACTATTAATAAATAATTCATTATAATTTAAAATAATARAACAAAAACTTTTGTAATTGATATTATTAAAGATTCAATTTCATTCATAATCTCTCTGTACAGAGTAGGAAGGTACATTATTGATTGAGTTTATGTTATAATATTTAGACCTTTTAGTTAGATACTTACCAGTATATAATATATTGTATGATAAAATATTTTAATAATTATTGAGGCAAATATGTTTTCCATTTTCACTTTATATTATATTATTTAGTTATATATTAAATTTAAATACAACCCAACATGTACTTCCCAAACTGACTGTTACAAAATAGATCATAATATATTAATATTATTTTATGCGTTGCAATTATTGGTCTAAACATGAAACCATTATAAATTTACAATCAATATAATACTTAGTTAATTAATATCATCCAACGTGACAGCATTAACGCCTATTATCTATAGTACAGTTTCTATATCCTTCATATAGTAAGGTTTGTGTGTCTGTAAGACTGKAACACCATTTGCTATGAGTTCTTTTAATTTTAATATCTTATTTATCATTAATCAATTCTAATCAAAATAKAATTATGGTTCTAAACATAAAYATATATTACAAATAAATTTCCCAAGGCTCGTACACTTATATATAATCTAATTGTATATATATTTATTACTATGATTAATTATTATAATTATTATATCAGACAACTACATTTGCAATTGAATGGAAACCATAGGTTTATACAGTTAGCTCCAGATGGTAATTATGTACAGACAAGGCCGTATATGCCCCCCCCTCCCCGCCTGAAATATTTTACAACTAATAAATTTAATTTATAATATTGTATATAATATAAATTGTTTTTTAATCGTTTATTTAAATATACACAATCTGTAAATGTTGTTTTACAATAAGTGCATGTGATGGAGGTGRCATGGCTTGTAAAAAAGTTAAGAAATATATTTTTTTACTTAATAATTTTCCAAAAAAAAATTGACCATGGCAATTTTGTAGTTTATTTTTCTGAAAATATTGACGTTTCAAAATTTTATTTTCATTAATTTCTAGATTTTTAATTTTTTTCAGTTACAATGAAAATTGCGAATTATTTAACACCGTAATGTTATCAAACATGTAACCACTAACCCGCCTCGCCGCGCGCATTCCTATACGACCGGCCGAATACTTTCAGTGTTTGCGTGTTTCTAATAATAGTTATAATCATATTTTATTTCTTCTAAAATATTAAAAATCCRGAAATTAATAAAAATAAAATGTTGAAACATCAATATTTTCAGAAAAATAAACTCTACAAAATGGCCACCTTTAATTTTTTTGGAAATTATAAAATAACAAAATATATTTTTTACATTTTACATATATTAATATTATCCTTACTACATATTATATAGTATAATATTATACTATAAGCACAGAATATAATATGAAATTTATTATTATTTATTTGATTATTTCATAATTTTGCAATATTATAATCAGCTGTGATCGAACCTTCTATTTATATTAACCTTGGATGATAGTATCTGAATTTGTGATAAAACCATATGGTGCATTTCTGAATTTATTGATAACAGGAACTTTCCTCAAAGCAATAAGATTACTTAATAAGAAATAATTTTTTTTTGTACGATATTTTAACCATGCTGATGCTATAAAATTGTTGTGTCAAATCAAAATATGACCTTAGATCATGACATTGGTAAGTAAATTGGCGCAAATGATAAATATCAGTAATGCACGATTAATGATCAATGATTTTTCATGAAAACTGTTTAAATCTGTGACTATAATATGGWCAACACTGACCAACCAACCTAACCAGCTTACCAGCTTGTAATCACCAAGTGGTAGTAAAATACCATAGATAATAGAAGAATTCTATTATGTAAATTACCATAATATCACTTCTAATTCTATCAGTTGTTCTATCCACAGACTAAGATAATAATATGATCTGAGGTCTTGTGTGCTTCTAAATTCCATGCGTTTGTGCGCTACGCCGGAGCCCGGAATGTTACCAGTTGTCATTAAGTCGTTTAACCATGAATGTGTCCCGTAGTCCGTGCCTTGTGGTAATCATAATCGTTCACACTCATTAAAGGTTTCAGTCATTTAGTATTCACTGAATTCACTCGGTTCTCAACCATGTGAAGGTGAAATCCAATGTACACTGTACATAATTTCAAAATTAATAACTCTTTAGTTGAATAAAAATGACTTATCAATCACTAAGCTCTAATCTGTATTTTCATCTTCATTTATGTTCTATTTTATTATATTAATATCATAATAGTGATGGACAAAGTTGAAACGACTGATTTATAACTGTTCTGTATTGAATGTTTTAAAAACGATTGTAGGTATGTATAAGTTATCAAATAATTTATTATTACTTTTACAATAATTGTTTTTTTTTTTTAATGTTATAAATAATTAACTGATTAAATTCTGATTTTTATTGAAGATTATATTTTTTCAATAAAATATTGCTCATTTAATAATTGTCTGCTTTTGTATTGAGGTTGCATTAATGGATTTAAACCAGTTTTTGTTACAAAGCTTACAATGATGAAAAGAAATAATGGATTAATAATACAAACAATAGATAATTAAGTTTTTTAACAGACTTTTTTTTTTAGATCAACTAATTATTTAAAGTCATGGATTCTAAATATAACTCAAATAATAAATTATTGATTGATGACCCTCAATTTCGAATAAAACCAGTACAACAAATAGCAGCTGCTTGTACAGGAGCATTAATTACTTCCTTTTTTGGTTAGTTATTTGTTTGTACCTATTATAACATATTTAAAAATTGAATCATAATATGATTTTACGCATTTTTAGTTACTCCATTGGATGTCATAAAAGTACGCATGCAAGCACAATCTAGAATAACAAATAAACATAAATGTTTTTTTTATTCCAATGGTTTGATGGATCATATTTGTCCATGTCATACATTAAAAAAAAATGCCTTTGATAGTCCTTATTACAGAAATGTCCAATGGTACAACAGGCCTAGCCAGTTTAATGGAACTCTTGTAAAGATATTTTAGTTAATTTAAATAATTTAAAAATCTTAAAAAATATTTATTTTTTAGGATGCTTTTAAACAAATTAGCAAAAATGAAGGAATTTTATCATTATGGAGTGGACTGAGTCCAACATTAATACTTGCAGTACCTGCAACTATTGTTTATTTTGTATCTTATGAACAAATACGATGTTATCTTCACGATTTAACCAAACCATTTTATGCGAACAATTATCAAAATCAACCTTTGTGGATTTCTGGTATATCWGGATGTGTTGCTCGTTTTGGAGCTGCTACATCAGTCAGTCCATTAGAACTCATACGTACCAAAATGCAATCAAAAAAACTTAGTTACTTAGAAGTACATCAAGCATTGCAAAGTTTATTAGAGTATCATGGCTACAAAGGTCTATGGAAAGGTCTTGGTTCTACTCTACTTAGAGATGTTCCTTTTTCTGGTGAGTTATACATTTTTTAAATGCATTTGGTTTTAGAGATGTTGTCGTTTAATTTTATTAGAGTCCTTWTAAAAGGTACTAAAAATTGAAATGTTGATTAATTAAATATATATTTATTATTTCCTATAAKTACTTAATTGATCAAAATAAATAATACCTGTAAGTTTTTTCTAATATAATGTTTTTGAAGGTATATATTGGATTATGTATGAACATATTAAACAAATATCAGGACATCCTACATCATTTGTGTACAACTTTTTGGCAGGGAGCATCGCTGGAGCGGTAATGAAAGTTTAATTTAATTGAAATTGTTATTCAATTATAAATTGAATGAGTATTAAGAAAAAAGACACTATAACCCATAAGTATTAATTAATTTATATTAAGTTCTAATAAATATATGTGTATGGAAACTGTCTAACTTATACGTTACATTTTATAATAAAATGAAGTTTTGAAAATTCTTCTTGTT